CAACTCGCCGACTCGTACCGAAGTGCGAGCTGGGAAGCGCCCGGCGGTCAGCGCCGCCTCGGTCGCGTCGGTCGCGCCAAAGTAGCTCGCCGCTGCGCGCGCGAGCATGCCCGGGGTAGCGCGGCCGTAGAGACCAGCCAACGCCAAACACTCATCGCAATCGCCGCCGCATGGGTGTATGCAAGCCAAGTTGCGGGTGGGTGGGTGGGTTGATTGCGCGAACAGCGGAGTGGGCAATTCATCGCGCGCATAAATTTACTGCACCACTTATTTCTTTCGGACTTCTATTGCACAGCGTAGATTCTCTTTTGTAGAAAGAGAATCGACTCTACCCCCCCAGCGTTATCGGTCCCCTTCTCGGGTATGTAAATCATGAATGATTTTGACCGCATGCCCATCCTAAATATGAATTTACACAATCCCAGGGGGGCCGGTATCGCCCCCCCGGAGGTTCCCTTATAAAAAAAACAATACGCGGGGACATTTTTTGTTTTAACAGAACACTTTCCCACGAATCCCTTGCAACAAATGGGGCGAAGTGCGCGCGCGCGTCGTCGCGCGCGCATGCCGAAATCCTTCAAAACCTTCGGTGTCGGAGCGATTTCGCAATCGAGTTTCCCAAAAAACATGCAACAACACAGGCTTTCGCAACACTGATTTGCTAAAAAAGCTTACGCGCGAGTTCTTGCAAATCATAAGAGAACCATTGGTTCGTCAAGATTTTCACAACATGCTACCAAACGGGCTTCGCGCGCGCATGTCGAAATCTATCGAACGCCCTTGCGCGTGTGCCGTCGCGAGAATCGTCTGCAACAAATGGGACGAAGTGCAGACGCGCGCGTCGTCGCGCGCGTATTCCGAATTCCGTTACAACCCATACGTTTCGGAAGGATTTCAGAATCGTGTGTCCAAGAAACCTACAAAAGCACAAGGTTTCGCAACACGAATTTTCAACAAAAGCGTGCGCGCGCGCTCTTGCGTCGTCGTCGTCGTCGTCGTCGTCGTCGCCGTCCTCCCTCCTCCCGCGTCGTCGCCGTCGTCGACGTCGCCTACGTCATCCTCTGTCTTTCCTCGTGTTCGTCGTCGTCGTCCTCTTTGGCGTCGTGGTCGTTTCCGTCGTCGTTGTCGCCGTGGTCGTCCTTCCTCCTCCTCCCTCGTCGTCGTCGTCGCCCGTCGTCGGCATCTCGTCGTCGTCCCTCCTAATTCGTCGCCGCCGTTGTCGTCGTCGCCGTCGTTGTCGTCGTCGTCGTCTTCCCTCCTCCCTCGTCGTTGTCGTCGTCGGCGTCGCCGTCCTTCCTCCCTCTTCGTCGTTCGCGTCGTCGCCGTCCTCCCTCCTCCCTCGTCGTCGTCGTCGTTGTCGTCGTTGTCGCCGTCGTCGTCCTCCCTCTTCCCTCGTCGTCATCTTCGTTGGCGACGTCGTCGTCGTCTTCGTCGTCGTCGTTGGCGTCGGCGTCGTCGTCGTCTTCGTCGTCGTCGACGTCGGCGTCGTCGTCGTCGCCGCCGTCGTTGTCGTCGTCGTCGTCGTCGTCGGCGTCGTTGTCGTCGTCGTCGTCGTCGTCGTCGGTGTCGTCGTTGTCGTCGTCGTCGTCGTCGGTGTCGTCGTCGTCGTCGTCGTTGTCGGCGTCGTCGAAGTCGTTGTCGGCGGCGTCGTCGTCGTTGTCGCTGTCGTCGTCGGCGTCGCTGTCGTTGCCAAGTGCCACTTGGTTTCCACCGTCACGGTCTTAAGGGATTTTGCAAACCGAGTTGCGGGTGGGTGGGTGAGATGTTTGCGCGAGCAGTGGACTGGACAACTCACTGCGAACAGAAATTAATTGCACCACATAGGTAACATCACATATATTGTGTTCCGTACATTGCACAACGTAGGTTGCACAACATGTATTCTCCTTTCTAAAAAGAGAATGGACTCTACCCCCCCCGGCGTTATCCGTTCCCCTTTCGGCTATGTGAATCATATACGATGCTGACAAAATGTCAATCCTCAAGATGAGTTTACACTATCCCAGGGGGGCCGGTATCGCCCCCCCGGAGGTTCCCTTGCAAAAAACAATACGCGGGACATCTTTTGTTCTAACATCGCACTGTTTCACGAATCCCTTGCAAAAAAAAGGACGAAGTGCACACGCGCGCGTCGTCGCGCGCGCATGCCGAAATCCTTCAAAAACCTTCGGTGTCGGAAGGATTTCGCAATCGAGTTTCCAAAAAACATGCAACAACACAGGCTTTCGCAACACTGATTTGCTGAAAAAGCTTACGCGCGAGCTCTTGCGAAATCTTAAGAAAACCATCGGTTTTCAAGATTTTCACAAAATGCTACCAAACGGGCTTCGCGCGCGCGCATGTCGAAATCTGTCGAACGCCCTTGCGCGTGTGCCGTCGCGAGAATCCTCTGCAGCAAAAGGGACGAAGTGCAGACGCGCGCGTCGTCGCGCGCGTATGCCGAATTCTGTTAAAACCCATAGGTTTCGGAAGGATTTCAAAATCGTGTGTCCAAAGAACCTACAAGAACTCAAGGTTTCGCAACACGGATTTTCAACAAAAGCGTGCGGATTTCGGGGGTTGGTGGGGGGTCCAGGGTAATCAAAGTACACCCCCCAGATGCGGATAAGAGTGCGGGGGCGGTGGGGACGTTGCCAGTCTGCGAGACTCTGGAGAAGCCCGCCGCAGGCGCCACAGTTTCGTACGTCATACAACATATGTGTATATCAGAGTGAGGGGGCCGAACGGTCATTCAATGTCCCTGGGTGCGTGGCTGAAGTGGAGATCCGTGGTGAGGATACTGTTTGTTGCGTTGTTGTTGTTGTAGTTGTTGTTGTTGTTGTTGTTGTTGTTGTTGTTGTTGTTGTTGTTGTTGTTGTTGTTGTCTGTTGTCGTCGTTCCACCCGCAACCCACCCGCGACCCACCCCGCAACCCACCCGCGACCCACCCCGCGACCCACCCGCGAACCACCCGCGACCCACCCGCGACCCACCCCGCGACCCACCCGCGATCCACCCCGCGACCCATCCGCGACCCACCCCGCGACCCAACCCGCGACCCTCCCGCGATCCACCCCGCGACCCACCCGCGAACTACCCGCGACCCCCCCGCGACCCACCCTGCGACCCACCCGCGATCCACCCCGCGACCCATCCGCGACCCATCCGCGACCCACTCTCGACCCACCCGCGACCCACTTGTGACCCACCCGCGGCCCACCCGCGACCCTCCCGCGACCCGACCCGCGACCTAACAGCGACCCCCCCGCGACCCAGCTGCGACCCATTTGCTACCCACCCGCGACCCTCCCCACATTGGTTTAACGAAAAAATGGGCGCCTGCGGCAGGCTCGTTGTATAATTTGTGAAACTTTAGCGCCTGCAGCGGGCTTCTCCAGAGTCTCGCAGACTGCCGACGTCCCCACCGCCTCCTCACTCTTATCCGCATCTGCGGGGTGCTACGTGTGTATGTATGTATGCATGCATGCATGCATGCATACACGTACGTACGTACGTACGTACATATGTATGTATGTACGTATGTTTATATATTTGTATACATATATATAACATACACATTGCACAACGTAATTGTTAGAAACACATTGTTCGGGGGGTCCACGCTGGCTGCCATTCATTTTGCCCAACCATTCTGTGGTGTTGGGTCTTCGTTTCGAATCAGCAGCGCCCCGCGTCCTCCTGCTGATCCTCTCGTCTCCGCCCCTCCTCCCTCCTCCCATCCCTGCCTCTGCCCTTGGCATGCCTATTTCGGCGCACCCCTCGCACGTTTCGTGGCCCCACAAAGAGCTCCCAGTGGCAGCGCCCGCGTGACGGCACCGCACGAATGTCGGCACGCCCCTGTCACGCTTCGTGGCCCCACAGAGAGCTCCATCGAAGGCCTCAGTGGCATCGCCCGCATGGCGGCACCGCCACATTTTGGCACACCCCTCACGCGTTTCGTGGCCCCACGGGGAGCTCCACCGAAGGCCCCAGTGCTGGCTGTCACATGGCGGCACCATCCCATGTCGGCACGCCCCTTGCACGTTTCGTGGGCCCACAGTGAGCTCTGCCGCATGCCCCAATGGCATCGTCCACATGCGGGACCCCCACCCATGCGTGGCCGCACACGGAGCTCCATCGAAGGCCCCAGAGGTACCGTCCACAAGGGGACTCCTGCCCATTTCGGCACACTCCTCACGCGTGGCGTGGCTCCACCGAAGGCCCCAGTTGCAGTTGCACCGTCCACATTCGGCCGCCCCCGCACATTTCAGCACACCCATCACACGTTTCGTGGGTCCATAGGGAGCTCCACCGAAGACGATACGCACACACGCGTTACTCGCAACTGCATGTGGTTGGGTCCTTCGCCAGGCAAGTTTGTCATTCCAGACGTTCTCGGTCCTTCAAAATGGCGCTCCCGCTGCAGCGCAGGCCTCATTTTTGGATCGGTGCTTGATCCCGTTGTTCAGAATGGCGCTCTCGCCTCAGCGCGGCCTACTTTTCTGGATCCGAGTCCTTCCTCGTCGTTAGCACCCCCTTCTTTCCCCCTCCCCCACCCTTCCCCTGGTCCTCCCGCTCCGGCCGCTTCTCCTGCTCCTGCTGGTGCTATTCCTCCTCGTCCTCTTCCTCCTCCTTTTCCTCGTCTTCCTCCTCTTCCTGCTGGTGCTGCTCCTCTTCCTGCTCCTCTTCCGCCTGCTCATCCTCATGGCACCTCCCTCCCCAATGTACACAGATTCCCTTTCCAGATTGCCCGTGGCACTTTGGTGTCCTTTTGGGGGTTCTAGCTTCGCTCTGCTACCCGTCGGCAGATAGATAAAAATCAGCGCAATGGGGACAGATGGGTGGGATGGGGTATGATGTCAGATATGGTACGAGCGCACCCAGCTTGCCCTCCCCTCCTCTCCCTCCTCCTCCCCCCTCCTCGACCCCCCCTTATCCTGCTGCTCCTCTTCATTGTCGTCCTGCTACTTCTGCTGCTGCTGCTGCTCCTCCTCCTCCTCCTCCTCTCACCCCCTGCAGAGGCCAGCTGTGGGTCCTGCTGGATCTGCGGACCGACCACCTCGTGACCTCCGGCGACTCGCCTGACGTGAACAGCAAGCTGTCGGAG